CCCCGACCTCACAACTGGTCTTCCCCACCCTCAAGATGTTATTTCCCTTGCCCATACACGAAATCACAGCTTCCCATCTTTTATCAACATTTAACAATTCCCAAAAAAATTCCCTCCATCTTCCCCAATACCTCTAACCCCTTTAAAACTCTCCTCTCCTATTTTTTAAATGACAAATCCATTTGTTTTTTCTAGGCTTCCTTAACTTTTAATCCACTCCAAAAATTTTTTTTATTTTCAACAAAAAATTTGTTGATAACTCTCCCCCACTCTCTCATTTTTCTTCTTTTTACATTGCTTCACCCCTCTCTTACCCTCCTCTTTTTTCTCCTTTCTCTTCCCCCTTGCATCCTTTTACTTTGTAAAACTTCTCATATGTAACTTTTTCTCCCTTACTACTTTTTTTACAAATCATATTCCACCAAAGCTCCTCTTCCCTCCTGCACCCACTTTCCTTAACCACAAACTTCTGCTGAACACACTAACACTACATTTTTAAACCTACCCCATACCTTTTTCGACCCCCATTTCCTATGCTCTCATTAGCCCATCTATCCTCCAATAGCTGTTTATATCTTACCCTAACTGCCTCCTCTTTTAGTTTAAAACCTTCACCTCTCTCTTCCCTGATGCTTCTATTCTCCCTTGTACCCCATCTCCCTTTTTTACTCTCAGTGCAGCTACAACTAGAAAGTGATCCGATATATCTGTGGCCCCCTTTTAAACATGTAAATCCTGAAATCTACTCAACAGTCTTTTATCTACCATACATAATCCCAACAAAACTACTGTCATTTCGCCCTACATCATATCTTGTACCTTATTTATCCTCTTTTCTTAAAATATGTATTACCTATAACTAAACCCCTTTCTATACAAAGTTCAATCAAAGGGCTCCCATTATCATTTACACCTGGCACCCCAAACTTACCTACCACACTCTCTAAAAGTTTCTCCTACTTTAGCATTCAGATCCCTTACCACAATGACTCTCTCACTTGGTTCAAAGGCTCCTATACATTCACTTAACATCTCCCAAAATCCCTCTCTCTCCTCTACATTCCTCTCTTCTCCAGGTGCATACACTCTTATTATGACCCACTTTTCGCATCCAACCTTTACTTTATTCCACATAATTCTTGAATTTACACATTCATATTCTCTTTCCTCCTTCCATAACTGATCCTTCAACATTACTGCTACCCCTTCATTTGCTCTAACTCTCTCAGATACTCCAGATTTAATCCCATTTATTTCCCCCCACTGAAACTCCCCTACCCCCTTCAGCTTTGTTTCGCTTAGGGCCAGGACATGCAACTTCTTTTCATTCATAACATCAGCAATCATCTGTTTCTTGTCATCCGCACTACATCCACGCACATTTAAGCATCCCAGTTTTATAAAGTTTTTCTTCTTCTCTGTTTTAGTAAATGTCTACAGGAGAAGGGGTTACTAGCCCATATATTATATAATATAATAAAATAATATATATATATATAATATATATATATATATATATATTATATATAATGGCTTATGAACATAGGTTATAGTAAATATACGTAATTTGGAACATAATTGTCACAGAAGAAAGCCGCTAATTACTGCATTCTCAGGCATATAATGTACACTCTTCTTCCACGTCTTGGGGAAACCACCCTGCGTCTTATATGCTCAAGGTTAAGTTTAATGTGTTTATTATGCACCCCATACCCATCCTGTGGGCGGTAGTCAAAAGATTACAGAGGTACATAATTGGTCCAGGGACTGGAGTCCAAAGTTTTGATAGCTGAGCAAGTTACAGAGGAAATGAACTCACAATTTACAAAGGTAATGAACTCCAGGTAGGTCTAGTCACAATCATGACAAGTTACAAAGGTATTTACAGATTACAGAGGTACGTAATGGATCCAGGGACTGGGCCCCCAAAGTTTTGATGCTCAAGGTCAGGGTCAAAGGTAGGCTTTGAGTTACACTTTAGCAGATATTTGCTCTGAAGTTACGTTAAAACTGAACCATACCCCCGGCCGGGATTGAACCCGCGGTCATAGAGTCTCAAAACTCCAGACCGCGGGTTCAATCCCGGCCGGGGGTATGGTTTATTTGCAATCGTGTCATTACGATTTCTTAAGTCAAGTTACGTTAAAACTGCTTGGAAACTGTCTTATATGCCGGAAAATACGGTATGCAATGCATTTCAGGTAAACTAAAATCCTAAGGTTTATATACAACTTAAATCTAATCCAAGCATAATATGCATCAGTAAAGCTGGTGTAAATCACAAGTATAATTAAACAGGTTGGCGAATGAGAAACTGGTGAAGTAAGCATGGTTTCTGCAGGAACAAGTCAGAGGAACCAGTTAATACCTAATTTGCCCGAAATGTTCTGCCTTTTACATGTAAATGTGTCGGCTTGTTGAGACTGAAATGTGTATGTCTCTGTAAAGATTAATATTTTATATGTGAACCACACAATTTAATTACAAAGGTCACTAGCATGCCTAGTATATATTTTTACTTTTATGCTTCCAATATGGATTCATTGAAATTTGATTATAAATTTTAAAATCAGATTACAGTCAACTGATAAACTACCAAAGAAGCATTAAAGGCAAGATAGAAAGTTAGTGCGTAATAAAAATATAGATTGTTTACGTCAATATGGTTGCCTGGTGGTGCAGCAAGACGTCAGCACTTACATTCTCTTTCTCTGTTGCTAGCCCTTCGTCTATTTCTAGCACATATGTTCACCAATCTTGCAAGAACCTCATTTTCTAACCCAGCAAACATCCGCCCGTCTAGTTTAAGAGAGAACTTGCAATTCGTCAAGATGGGAAACATAGGTACGATCACTTCCTATTCTCACGTTCGAAATTTAATGCACTTCTTTGAGTAGTAGTCTATTTACTAATGAGTTTAGTTGTATTCGCTTATTTTCATTTTGAAGGTCATTGCAAGTGTGGAAATGCATTTAGAGGTGATGGTTGTTGCACAGTGTTGCATGGCTGGAGTGCCCAAGTGTTGCACCAGCTGCTCTTTCTATTTGCATATAACTTTTCTGCGGTGTTTAGCGTCAGTGTGATTCTTAGTGATTTTTGCTGTGTTAGCAAACTAAGTTTTAGAGAGTGAGAGTGGGGTTGTTGCAACTGAAGTTGCTAGGAGTATTGTGTTGTTACTGGATACAATCAATGTTGGCCACTTCTTAAGGTAACATACAAAGTATATACTGTGCCTTGACCTTACTTAGTAGGCATGCAGTGCCGAGTTAAGTTTGTGTACTCATGGCACCCCCCCAATGAAGAGTAAGAGTGCCATTACTCATGAGTACACTAAAGAAATTAACACAAGTGTCAGGGGCCCAAGATTGTTTAACTGCCTCCCAGCATACATTTGGGGGATTACCAATAGGCCGCTAGCTGTCTTCATGAGGAAGCTGGACCACAATGGAACAAGGCAGACTTTTTTTGGTTATCCTACGTAATCTATACATATGCTGTTATGTATGATAATTTATGTAATTATTTACGTGTACCTGTACCTATATAAACTTACCTAAAGTCAATACTTGTTTGACCAGGCCCTGACCCACCACGAGGCCTAGTCATGGACCGGGCCGCGGGGGCGTTGACCCCCGAACACCCTCCAGGTATTAATTGAGACAGTGACTAAAGAAATTTGAAAAATTAATGTTTATTTGAAAAATACACGGCAACGATATGATAGATAATTGATTTAATAAGAGATATGACTACCCTTTGCTTTTAATAGCATTGCTACATACAGGCTTTGGCATAGAATCCACCAATGTTGAACACATTTTCGCAAGTTCGTCGTGGTACCAGGTCCTAATAACAGCAGTAATTAGTTTCTCCACAGTTGAACAGTCCTGTTCTGCAATCTTGTTTTTGATTATTGCCCATAGATTCTCAACTGGGTTAAGGTCAAGTGTGTTTCCAGGCCAATTAGCACACTCTTCGAAGAGTGTCAGCATTTATCTGGAAGTGTGGCATGGAGTAAGATGTTGCTGGAAAATGCCTTCTCCATCAGGAAAGTATATCCACAATGGGAAGCAAACGAGTTGCCAGGATTGCCTTTTATTTGTCACTGTTCATCATTCCCTCAACAATAACAAGGCTTCCTCAAAATACCTTAGGTGGGCGTTTTGGCGCTTGTCGAATATGTTCATTCCGATGAGGTTCGCCTTTGCTCCATCTCACTACCACTGATCTGTACCTAGGTACTTCAAAATGTGCCCATCTGAAAATATAACTTTTCTCCATCCATTATGATCGAGTGCCCACGCAGCCGTTTTTACTTCATAGCAGCAGGCAATAACTTTCTTTACCGGCTTTCTGGCAGTCCTGCCAACTTCAAGGAGCCTTCATCAAATAGTTGAAGAATCAACATTTACGCCAGCGGAAGCCAAATCTCCCTGTAGATCTTTGCTGGTTTTCTTGGGATCATTCACACTTTCTTACGTGAGGTATTGTCTTGCGTTTTCTTCTACATCTTCCTTGACGCAGAGCTCCACAATCATCAGTGTCGTCAGCTCTGCAGAATCCGACCAACAGTTGACTTTGCTTGGCTCAAATTTTCGGTGATCTGATATTCAAATTAGCATGTTTTTTAAGATCTACAATACTTTCACTCTTCCTCGGTGTAACATCCATCATGAATTTCAGCAGTAATCATAAAATGAAGGAGAATTTGGCGAAGCCACATTCACTCACGGAACCCACTCTCAGGAATACCCTTACAGAGCAACAGCTATTGTAGCACTGACTAGAGTCGCAGAGTAACACCACAGTTGGACGATTGCCAGAAGTTGGTAGTAAACTCTTCCGAAAAGAAAACACCCAAACTACATTAAGCCGGAGACTAAGACACTACGAGATAAACACAAAATTTACTGTCCCCAATTAATTTGCCCACTACTGGAAAACATACACAGCCTAAATCTAATTCAAACTTTCCATTCAAAAATACCAGCTTTGAAACTAAACACTGGACTGGGAGTATTAGAATTCACCTGCTATGGGGTTCGAGCCCCACCCGTTTTGTGATTTGAAGCTAGCCTGAAAAGGCACTTTTCTCATCTCACAGAGACCAATATCCTAAAATACTCACCCTTGCCCTAACCCTTGGCCTAACATCTGTCCCAACTCCTGTTCTGACCCTATCTCTGACCCCTTCCCTGACCCATCCCTTCTCCAAAATCATACAAAAACTAGTCCCCTAACCCATTTCCTTTATCATGCCCTAACCTTTCTCTCGGCTCTCGTCTAAACCCCTCCCCTACTCCATTAATATAATAATTTTCCAGTGCAAAAACTACATGTCGAGTGTAAACACTGTTGACATACGCACATCCATGTAAACTAAGATAGATTTTTGTTCCTCACTGTTGATATACAAAATATAATTTAGAATAATGTGGAGAAAGGCCGGGTAAACAATAATATTGGAGATAGTGTGAAGGACGAGGGGCAGGATGAGGATAGAGTGGGTGGTGCCGGGCAGAAGCAGTGGGCACTTTATGAGTGCTGGGGTATCGTAGCACTAGTGGGCACCAGTGTGTTATAACGTGTGGCGGCACTGGTGGTAGTGATGATGGCAGTGCAGACGCGACCTTGCTTTAGTGAAGGCTTTGCAGAGGGCATTCCTATCCACTAGTTGTATTACCTCTCGTCTTGCTCAAACCTGCTCAGAAATGTTAATGTTTATAGTGATCGATGTCTATTATTTTAAGAATCAAGTTACGAAAGCATTTAAAATTAAAAAAAGATATAGGGACTTTATTGTGATTAGTGCCATGTAGTGGAAGGCAGAGCGTGGAGATCTTAAGTTTATATCAAATAAATTTTACGAGTGCCTAGAGAGCAATGTAATGTTCTTGATTTACAGTGCAGGTGTTCACTGCTCTGCTGGTGTGGCTGCAGAAATGAATTATAGTGTGTGCAGAACAGTATAAAGAAAAGTCCACTTGCATATGTCATCGCAACATTGTTTCTCAGTTATGAGTAAGTGTTTTTTTTTTTTTTGCTGTGTGTGTGTGTGTGTGTGTGTCTCTCTAAGTATTGTTCACCCATCCATAGCTACTTTATTCCTAATTGTCTGTCAATATTTATGCTCATTTCTGGAAAATTTATGTGTAATAGTAAATGGTTAATTTCTTTGCAGAGGCAGTAATATCAATTTTATATAATTCCCAGATATTCACATTTTTATTAATATTATGTACGCAGTATTGTACAGTTATATTTTACCCAACATTTTGGGGTCAAAGGACTGGGACCCAAAGTGTTAATAGCTAAGCAAGCTGCAGTGGTAACGAACTATTTACATGTCTATATATGGCTATAATAGTAATGGGTGATTTATTGTAATCAATTCAGTCTCAAACTATTAGTGTAGCTTATAAGTGACTCTGAACTATTTATACTACCTTATTTGTCAGCATGTTTAGATTTAAAAAAAATATACGAAAGCATTTGTTTGGCAAAAGTGTAGATCAGTGGAAAATTTGCCAGGATGCTTAGTCCTCTGTTGTTATGCAGTGGTGAGTAGATTGTGTGAGACACCAGCTGTCAGCCCAGTTGTCTGCCAGCTGTAAAGCCAAGCGTCCCTACATCACTAGATCTCTGGGAATATCATCACGCTCCCCCCCCCCCCACATACACACAAAGGATCAGTACAGGGACCTAAATTATTTCTGGTATACGTGAACGACACGCCAGAAGATATAGGATCCGAAGTATCCCTGTTCGCAGATATGAAACTCATGATAGCAATAAAGGGAAGGCAATAAAAGCAAACGAACCTAGACAAGCTGCAAGTTTGTAGGTTGGTCCCGGCAACCATCCAGGAGGTAATAAAGTCTTTGATATTGTGGAAAGAAGCCTCTTTTGCACTCTAGCAAGATTGCTGGTCTCTTCCTGTCTTAAGAAAATGTGGAAAGACAAATATCTTAAGCACTTCTAATTACATTTAGTATACGTTTATTTATACTTTCCTGTGTTTCTTAATTATTTCCAATTTATGAGGCCTGGTCTGAGAGCGAAGCCCTGGTGCGATGATCCCTTAGAGGCTGAACATGAGGAAGTCATCTTATTATCAATGATGACTCAAGACGGTGTGAAGATAGCGCATCTCAAGATCCTACATAAGCAACGTTAGCTCTTGGATACAATTTATTTCTTTCCCGATATTACTTTAGTCATGAACCATTAAGCCCGTGTGGGTTATTCGGCTAATGAATTGGTGAAGGCTCGATCCTTCATCCACTAAGTCTCTTACCAAACCTTCCGGTAGGTTTTTTATCAAATTTGACGTGTGAAAGCAACGCCTCGGGCACACTCAGAAATGTTTTCTCACCTTCCTTTTGGGCAGAAAACGTCGTATTGCTGTCTATAATAGAGGAAACGCAGATCTAGAGAGTGTACAGAGATCCTTTACTGCACGTATAAGTTCTGTCAAGCACCTTAACTACTGGGAACGCTTGGAAGCACTTGACTTGTACTCGTTGGAACGCAGGAGGGAGAGATATATCATAATCTACACTTGGAAAATCTTGGAAGGAATGGTCCCAAATCTGCACACAGAAATCACTCCCTACGAAAGTAAAAGACTGGGCAGGCGATGCAAAATGCCGCCAATAAAAAGTAGGGGCGCCATTGGTACACTAAGAGAAAACACCATAAGTGTCCGGGGCCCAAAACTGTTCAACAGCCTCCCATCAAGCATTAGGGGAATTGCCAATAAACCCCTGGCTGCCTTCAAGAGAGAGCTGGACAGATACCTAAAGTCAGTGCCGGATCAGCCGGGCTGTGGCTCGTACGTCGGACTGCGTGCGGCCAGCAGTAACAGCCTAGTTGATCAGGCCCTGATCCATCGGGAGGCCTGGTCGTGGACCGGGCCGCGGGGGCGTTGATCCCCGGAATAACCTCCAGGTAACCTCCAGGCTCCAGGTAACGTGCGTCTTTCCTTCCCTATTGATCACGTGTAGCACTTTTTGACGCCACCTACCTGGATGGTGTTCCGGGGGTCAACGCCCCCGCGGCTCAGCCCATGACCAGGCCTTGCGGTGGATCAGGGCCTGATTAACCAGGCTGTTACTGCTGGCCGTACGTACGAACCACTATGTACATCCACGTCTCGTATTACATTTTTTAATGATCCAACACTAAAATCTTGTAGCACAAACCTGCGGTACCTTTTATAGGGTGCTTACAGAAATTACAATGTGTAATCAGCTTGTACGTTTTATTAAAAAAGATTGGTTCATATGTAATTGATTAGTTGCTGAATCTGTCTGATAACAAAATTTATCTCTGGCAACTGTGGGTCACCAGATTAACCTACAGTCCACTGGCTTAATTGCCAATTTAACTTTGGTAAAACATATGGGAATGGCAGACACCATGGTGCCAGTGTGGAAGGATGGTGCCATTGTGGCACCATTGTACCAGTGTGGAAGGTGGCACCATGGTGGAAGGTGGCACAGTATGGTGCCATTATGGCACCACGGGGCCAGTGTGGAAGGTGGAACCATGGTGGAAGGTGGCACAGTATGGTGCCAGTGTGGCAGGTGGCAGTATGATGCCTGTAACTAGTAACCGAAATGATTGCAGTTACCTGTCATGGAAACAGTAACCAGGCAGTGTAGCGTCACGGTGACGTGTTACTAAATATACAAGGGCACGGTGTTGTGTAGGACACTCTAATTTAAGTGTTACGCAGAGCGTGAAGTATGTCACCAGGAGTGTATCTATCAGATTACGTGTTGCGTGTTTACGTTCTAGGGGTGGCTGGTATGGTGTAGTGACGGTAACGTAGTGGCAAGTGTAGTTACGAGGGCGTAGTGGTATATTGTAAGTAAGTTTATTCAGGTATACACAAATACAGTTACATAGAATTATCATACATAGCAGCATATGTGTAGAGAACCTGGGATAACCCAAAAAAGTCAGACAGTGACTTATTTCCATTGGGGGATTTTTATGGTGGGATTTTTATGGTGGAAGGTGTAGTGGTGAGGTAGTGGCAGCGGCGCCTTGCTTGATCATTAAGCACAATAAACTAACAGTTAAGAGAATAAACACGATGGGAGGAACAGCAACGCGTACAGATGTACATTCTTCCATGTGTACCACACCGTGTACACACATGGGCAACTGAGAAGACATTTATTGCAGCTACGTTACGCTTACCAGGAAGCTTTCTGATGTCAGTACAGTATAGGTCTTGGATACAGATGGTACATAGTAGTAGTAAAGTGATTACTGTGTGTTTGGGTGTGTATATTAATAATATATATATAATATATATATATATAATTATATATATATATAATAATATATATATATATATATATATATATATATATATATATAATATATATATTATATATATATATATATAATATATATATATAACTATATTACACACACACACACATTAATACTTGCTTAACCACCACCACTACTACTACTACTAACCATACCCCCGGCCGGGATTGAACCCGCAGTCATAGAGTCTCAAAACTCCAGCCCGTCGCGTTAGCCACTACTTTTATCCTACTGCTATTAGTACTACTTATTATTACTACTGCTACAGTCAAGAATGCCCCGTCTTCTGAATACTTACTCCCTTTATATACCCTGTGTCCATGCACTGTGTTGTTCGTCTTGGCTTGACGCAGAGTTTTCAATATCTTGATTCCACAGTGAAACCAAAAAATACTGTATACCGAGAAATTCAATCTTGTACTCGCCTAGTTGTTTACAAGGGTCGATTCATAGCTTCTGGACCAGTAAAGTAAGATACGTTGCTGATTAATAAACTAATCTCCCATATCAATGACTCGTGAAATCGTTAAGATACGATTATGAAAGAGAAAAAGAGAGAGAGAGAGAGAGAGAGAGAGAGAGAGAGTCTGCTTGATAATTTTAGGACCGCTACGCCACTGTCCGATCCATGAGTTGTAATCACTTATGATTTGTACACTCGTAAATTGGCGGTACGTAAATTGATAGTCCGACCGCGGTTCGAGCCTTTCGTCCACACCTCTGTTTATTCATCAGCAGTTGTAGGGGGGGGAGGGGGCCACATAACTTACTTTTTCGGTTTTCAACATAGATTAGATGGATGTAATAATTGTTTTGTTCTAACACAATCAGATGCACACAGTTTAATTTTAAACTGATAAAAAAAACCAGATGTACGTAACGGTTGTATTGTGTTCTAATGTAATAAACACAGGTTGTTAGATGTTAAACAGAAGTTTCTTCATATATCACCATCCTTAGGTCAAACAGGTCACGTCCCGTCGGCTGAAGCCTGACAGTGGACGGGTGGTTGTGTGAAAATAGTCTTGGCTAGAAGACTCCTAGCCTAAGTAAGCTAGAAGCTTTCTGTGCTATGAAAAAAAAAATCATTGCACGAGAAAATTATTTTATATTCAAGGTAACATTTTGAAAGTACAATTTTATGGATCAGTTTAATACAGAAAAAAATAAAGCTCGACCTGGCAACGACTCTGTGTATTTTGGATCAAGTTAATCTTTAGTGACTATTTCGCTACTGATAAAAATGACATCATGCTCATGTAAGGAATGAATCAATGTATCATCAACGTACCCCACAAGGAGCGCACTAGCATCAATTTTGGCCACTGTGTTGACCAAAAACATTAAACACAGGGCTGAGGACACTTCCCTGGGGTGTGCCCAGTTCCAGTCTGTTCACCTTTGAGTATTTTCCTTGAAAAAAATGCCTTTGCTGCTCCGTTCTTTAGATGTTCATTAATCCACATTAATAATTTCCTCCGAACTCTCATCTCTACTAATTAATCGAAAAATTATGTGCTTTTGGCTATGTCGAAACCTCTCAATTCAGCGAAGGTTGGGTATTGTGCCTCGCAATTTGCAAGTGGTGAGCATCATGCAGTGCCTCTTCCTTTCATGAAACCATTAAAGACATATAACAATATACACACCTTGGCAAGAATGTGAAGCACTTG